AAGAGAAATTCCACAAACACCGTTGACTCGGTCAGCCCAGCTTCAAAGATCCGTCGAGCACAATCCAGCTGGAGTCATTGGTATTGCAAAAACGGGTGACACCTTTTGCCTCTGCGACCATAGGTGCTGATTTGGGTATAAATGCTGGAAGGAAATCATGTTTCGCGGTTCCAGTCTGATGATGGCTGTGTATGTAGTCGAAACTGAAAAGCTTGTGTTTGGCAGTGACCAAGAGAACAGCTTAGTTGTGTTATGCATAGTAGTGCCTCTAAGAGCATTTTAGCGGATCCGAATGCAATGCATTCCTCGAACCCACGGTGTTTTAACGTTTACTACTACATAGTTAGGAATGCCCGCGGATTTGTTAGAGTAAGCAAACATTCATGGCCATCTTCTACGCCAAATTAAAAAGTAATATGGTTGTGATTGGAAATCGTCCCTTGAATAAAATGTTAATCTCCCACGAATCGGCAGGTAGTGCTGTAGTTGTAACAAGGTTTGGGAACTTGCAAGAACCAACTGATGGACGTAAAGTATGACGGAGTTTCCCTCCAGTAACCAAATGTCCCCTTTGCATCCACCGGTTAACTATCCCGGAAGAAGGAACACGAGTTTATTGAATCGCTTTTCCGAGTGAGCGCCTACAGGCCCTTAAATACGGAGAAGAATTTGATGCAGGAGAGCCATATCTCCTTGTAGAAGCTGCATGTGTATTTACCAGCACAGGTGTAAATAGTCTGCTTGCACCATGTAAGTACACTAACGCAGGTTAACCTTACGTCGATTCTTCTTACATTATCACGGTACAGACTTGGAGGTCGCGCCTCCAAACCAGGGAATACGAAAGAGTATTCATTCGACAGATAAGGTCTAGTAGGTGGCCGCGCTCTCCAGAATTTTCCGTCGTTTTTAGCGGCATGACGTATACATCGGATACTTCCGCATGAACAACTCGGCGTGTCGGGACATCTTTATGACACGCTCCAGTGTCTGAGTGGTGCATTGGGTATTTTAGGCGACCGTTTGCATTCCAAAATTAACCATCCCGGATCGTTCGTGTGCAGTCAAACTGCAGGTGATATGCAGCACATGGGCCGCAACGTAAAAGGCAATCCGTGGGTCCAGGTGGCGCGGCTGGTAAAGGTCTTATCAGAATTTGTATGATGGTATTTTGATGGGCGAAAATCCCAGTGTATTGCATTGTCCAGGCAAACAATACGGTAGAATATGTTCCGACTGTTCGCAGAAAGTCTGTGATCAAACATACTTCTCCTGCCACCCATGTTTGTGCTGCCAGTTTGTCCACCATAAAAGTCTTCACCAGATACAATTTGCTCATCAATTCCTCGAACAAGCCGAATAGTTTGCGCATGAGAGCAAACTGTTGGCTTTCCACGACGGCACTTACAAACGGACGTCCGGTACCCATACCACCCGCTGGCAGAAAGGCGTATAGCTTGTATCTACAGGCCAAATATAGGTGGCCTTAACAAGGCTCACCAAGGCGTTTTGTCACGTGTGCTCCATTGTAGTTTACGAGATCCGGGGATCGTCGAAACAACGCAAGCTGTTGTCATCTGGCGAAGCGCATGTGGCTGTAGTGATCTCCACACTCCAACACAAGCACACGACCGGGCACGTAAAGCTTGGCTGGGAACAAAGGCCATCATCAGCTACGATAAGACCCGTCAAGTAATTAACAGAGATAGCCGACAGTTTCGGCGGTGGCTGTTTTTGTCCGGAGTTGTAAGGCCTCTCAAGAATCAATCAGCTACTAACTTTCGCACTTCACACGAAGGCGTGTTTTGCTTCAGCAGCAACCTGTAGGTGCCACGCTCTTCTTCCGTCAGTTGCCAATTCACCGAAAGTCGATTTTACAACAATTTGGAAACCTTACGTATATGTTTCACATAATAATGGGTAATTACAGGGTTTTTCTTCTCCCTAAACAGAAACATACTATACAGCCGGTGTACAGCTTGTAGTTGGCAAATCCGCTCATTTTACTAGCTTCTTCGGCTCTCTCAAAGTTTTGTTTATTTCTGGTCGCCTACTGCATCTGTGGTGCACCCACACGTAACGCGGAAGAGCTTGGTGCTTCGATTACCTGTTATACGCACGAGTACTACGTAGCATCATTCATACACATATTTAGCGCTTTCCCAACTGTTGTAAAGGATGAAACACGACTGAAGCCAGTTTCTCGAAAAAAAATTTCTGAGGCTACATATGAAAATGGGGATTGCAACTTTAAAACTAAAATACGTACCAAAGGAATTGATATTACGTTGCGCAAATTCCAACAAAACTGAGGCAGATTATGGTACGTTTTTGTAGCACCACACATACATACAGGAGACTCATACGATTTTAGGCTAAACGCTTTATTCTATGGGTCAAGGTTCCTGGGCAACAAATATCTGCTAGCTAAGGAGCCAATCAAGTGAATTGCTAAATAAAGGAAAACCTATTTACATGGGAATCACTCCAGGAGACAACTGGGTGTGTCCAGCATTAGGCGGGCTTTTTCAGAAGGAACCAACCAGAGGCGTAAAAAAGATTAACGGCTGAATTAGAGTGTTCCGTTTGTAACCTTCATATGCTATTGAATATTTTCTGGCATACCGTTTTCTTTGGTCCAGTATGGAGACATTTTGAAGTCTTCTCATTCCCCGGAAGGCCCTCATATTGATCCCGGGCCAAAATTTGCGCACAGCACCAGTTACGCAAAGACCAAAGCCTTACAGTATCACGACTGGCAAACTTGTTAAAGACGGTTTGCTCTGTTCAGTCTATTTACAAACAAAACGCGTGCCAGTTGTCAATTTTCTCGCCCTAGCATAATCTTTGCTTTAAAAACTTCACCAGCGTGCAGGCAATTCTTGCGGTGAACCCGGTCCCAATAATGGGCTAGATCAAATCGGGCCGCTCTCTACAGCTATCGATGGACCACAACAGATGTGGGCGGAACGGGTGTCCATCGAATGTGAAACATGGTATGCAATGTCACACTTACAGGGTTTGGTGGCACTTTAAATATATGGGTCTACAGGACGACCATATAAGCCAATTATCTAACTTTCGTGACCCGTTTGTCTGCGCCAGCTGCCTCTACCTTGAGGGTGCTATGCGTTCCACAGCTAAAAAGAGAGCCACCAAAAACGAACTCAAGTCCCTGCTGCTGAGTCGGAAGGTTAAGTGCGAATGTTCTGGTTTAATCGGTATACTCGACGACGCTTCTTTCTGAAGCTCTGTGGGACACAAACAAAGCACCAAATGGCCTGGACGAGAGTTGACAATGACCACCACGACGTTGTTATTGGGCAGGCGTATGGGGTATTGGAGGTTGATCATCTGGAGGATTGTTCTCCAGAAGAGTCACGCCAACGAAATTGTCACAGACGCTCTTTGATGGTGTCCTCACGAAGCCTATACACGGGTCACGGAAAGTAGTTTCGCTGAAAGAGGAGTAAGCGGACATATGGTTTCCTAGTCACAGTTTGTCTGTTTCCGACTGTTTTGTTGTTCAGAATTTTCTAATTCGGCTCTAATTTGAGGCGCATTTTACATATATCTGGGAGTCTTTCTCTAGCACACCCACTTCAAAGATGCAGGCACAGTCGCTCCTGGTTGGTAACGAAAACTCTTTACGCCCGAAGTGAAGCGAGCCACAATTCAGCTTCCAGTCACTCTCTGCTTCCTATTAACCGTACAGATAATCTTGGAGCAGACCGTCAGAATTCAAAAGCTTTACCTAGGTTTGAGGCTTTTATCTTCTTGAGGCCTTCTTGAGGCGCAAAAATTGCGCCGCAAATTTCTCATTGGTTGTTTGTGAAACAGGCTTCGGCTTGTCCCCAGTTCAGCGGACTCCAAACAAACTAAAAAAATACAACAGCGTACTTAGCCTTCCAAAGGACGTTACTAAACCAATCATAATTTGGAGCGGCCGCCATTTTTGCCCACAGGGGATAATGGTGCCCCTTATGTGTAAAAGGCCCGCGAAAACAGGGCTCCCTTATGGCGGAAAAACTCTGCAAATGAAAAGCAGCTCTCAAAACCACCAAGGTTATCAGTGTCTCGAACAAGCCCTTGAACAGCTTTCTTTCAGCTACCACTTCACTGTCTCTTGCTAGTGGGTGATTTCAACGCTCCAAATGCCTCCGTGGATGGAACTTTAGCGCGTCGGATCGAGTGGACTATTTGCAGCGGCGCTGACGGAAATCTTTCAACAGAGTGTTTGTGTTTGTCATGTCGTTGCGCCCACCAGATGTCGCGCAGGCCAACTACCAGACCTCTTGGATTTGGTCGTCAATAAATAAAAATACTTCGTTAATCAGACGATGAATAACGCTCCACTGTGACATTGTGACCACTTGTGCCGACCTCTGACTTCTGCTACTGGGCCAGAAATCCCGACCCTCAAACATGGATCCGAAATTTATCAGGTGTTCGCATTTTTCTTGAATAAGTTACACAATGACCAGCCTCAGTGAAAGACTTATATGAAGCAAGTGTCCAGAGGGTTTACGAGGCTGACAACATTTTCGTCCCCAATAAATCGCCATCCAGTCGGATTTGCCGGAATTTACCTAAACTGAATCGGCGGATTTTGGGAAGGAGGTGTCAGCTATTTTCCAAAATAGTTGATCATGAGAGACTCAGAAGATGAGCTGGTTTTTCGTAAAATGCGAAGCCGTGGTAAACCAGAAATCCGCGAGCCCAACAAATGAAGACAAAATACAATTCTAGACCTTGCCCGGAAAACAAATTTCCTCTCCGAATACATCAGGCACCGCCGCAGATATAAGTTGTCCCTCCCCATTTCTTCTCTTGATAGGTTATTCGAATCTGTAGCGAGAATCAATAATCCACAGAACAGAGTGCACTAGCCTCTGGCTTCCTCCTTGTTTTGAAGTTTATTACGCTCGGCTATTCATATGGACTCGAAAGGAATAGTGACCTTGAAATCTTTTCGAATTTTTTCGGGTTTAACGTGTTCTGCAGGTTAAAAAGATCTGGCCAAAAATTGATGTATTTCGGTGGAACTGAAAATCAAGGAAGGAACTTGGAAGTTCACGGAATATTACCAGTCTGTGAGCAATATACCCTCGTCGTATTGGCTCAGCGTGAAGGTCTCGCATCGACGTCAACTGTGTCTTGCTACTACCATTTGGATTGTCCAAAGAAAAATAAGGGGTAAGTTAGTGTTACGGTAAATTGGCATGTATATGAAGTGTAAGAAAGTAAGCAAGTAAGTGTAGTGATTGCGGCCATAGGATCCTACTTCGAAAGTAGCGGTTAAAATTCACGATGTAACATCCACAAGCCCGTCATTTGTACACTAGAAACGATTTCAGCATATCTCACCGTCTTTCGCGACAATATTTTCTCGTATTTTTGCTACTGGAACCACCGAAATTCCACTTATTCATCGCCGGAATAGAATTCCTTGTAATATGTATTTTATTCAACTCAGTCTCCTAAACCTTACCTAGCAATTTCCTTATCGACGATATTATGTTGAGGATAGGAGTAATGAGTTTGAGAAATTCGAAAAACAGTTACAGACTGTTTAGGGATTAGTTATTACATTTTTGCTCATTCATTCTGTGGGCGATTGGAAGATAGTTTTTATGTATCTAGTGCACTTAACGCAAGGTGTCTGGTGCCATGATTGAACTTTGTCAAGACCAGGAGCATATCTCTTTGTTGACTACAGTTTGCACTTATAACCTCATTGGTTCATTTAAATCTACAGCAAAGCCGAACCTATAGGTCTCCAGCGACAACAGCGAAAACTCACTGACCCCTAACTGAATAAAGTCTGAGTGGCCTGCACTACTACAGCTTTATTTGACATTCGAAACCAACTAGTAATTCAGATGTTGCAGCCGCATATTTCTGGCCCATATTTTGATGCAGCTTGTCTGTGTGAGAGCCAACTGTGAAAAGATATTTTCATCCGAAGTTCTACTTTAAGTGGAACAATACCACGGAACGGACAAACACTAACTACTACCGATTTCAGTGGACTGAAAACCGCCAGTTTCCTGTGTCCAAAGTGATCAGTAAATGGCACAATCAAAAGATTCATATGGTTTTCTCTGATGGTTTACCGATTGATTTATTTGAGTGTGTTCGCAAAATTCGATTGAAAACTGAATTTAATGAGCTGTGGAAGAGATCAGACATGAAAAGTCGTGTTTTTATGCATACACTAACATCCTTTACACGTTAGGAGGATCAAAATATCACCTAATTACGAAGCAAAATGTCGCAGCCACAAGAGTTACTAGGACATGGTTTCATGAGACCATACGGCTCCAAGACTGCGGTAGATAGGAATACAACTACAGTCATCATTCGCATCCGAAAAAAGACAATTTCTCTCTCACACTCCTGTTGAAGGCACTGAATGTAAAAAAACAACCCGAATTTTTCCAAGACGTCTCAGAAGGTCAAGGCAAACCACCTATCTAAGAATAGCTAGTTTACTTGTACTAATTTATTCAGTCTTTCTGGTATGCTTAACAAGCAAGCGGAAGGTAAAATCTATATTTGTGGCAGAAACTAAAGCCCTCCAAGAAAATAAAAATTTCCAGAGCTTTACAGCCAAGAAGAGAAGGTATTCACCTTTTTCATGCAGTTGCCATGCTAGAATAAAAACTAGTAACGTCGATATCCAGGAAAATTGGTGTTCCCTTGTGCTGACTTAATTTAATCGATTGAAGGGTTGGTTTGGTCTACGAAATAGTGATAAAACTGCCTGCCTGCCAAAAATGGGTCAAAGGCTACCGAGTAGTAGACAAGAAGTAGGCTAACACGGTAATTTTAAAAGCAACTATTTACTCACTGTGGAAGCCGCAAAATTTGAAGCTATTTGAGGTGCTCAAAAGGCTCAAAGCTACGATTAATTTATGTACACAGCCAAAATCTATTAAAATTTATGCCATTAAATTCTTAAATTAAAAATGAGTGTCTCGTCAGTGCAGAAGATTAGCTATTAAGGTTTTGGTAACCACTACGATGCCTTCGTCTGTAGTAATATACCAGTCTGTACTCTATGTAAAACGTACAACTTTTCTACAATCTCTGAAGTGAACCACATCATTTAATAACTACTCCATCTGACCTTACGCTTAAGTGTGCTTACAAAGGCATTTTCTAAAAAACGCGTAGTTTAGACCATGTATGGAGCATAAATAAGTTGTAACTCGAAAACTCAGCTTAACCATCCATGGACCCTGCTTTGCTATCAAGTTGCTCACGTCTACTCAAAATACACAGCACCGCCATTATGCTGGTTAGATAACTTTCATTCTTTATACGCTGTTATTTGGAATAACCATTTTGGTTTGCAGCTAAGCTACATCAACGACTGAATCCTTTTACTGAAACAGGGGTAAGCACGATCTACCAAAATTTAAGATCCACATAAGTTATCAAAAATCGGTTGTCAAACTGATCAACCAACTTACACGACAGTTTTTCAAATCTCTATGGTTGACGCAATATGGTAAAAGTAGTTGGGGGACAAAAAATTCCATGTGGAAGATAATAAGTTTCTCTGAAGTTTACAGTCGTGCTACTCAAAATTCATTGGACAATTGGCCAGTAGTGTTCGATTTGTTACTTCCCCAAATCTCATACTTAATGCGAAATCGAAGCACCATCGCTGATATAGTTGGACGTGCAAGTCTACAGCCATTGCATGGTCGGTGTATTTGAGAGAACAGAGACAGTTCCGGTACTGTCACATCTGCAAAATCAGCACATATTTCTGTTGGTTTAACTCTCTCACCTTCTGTTTTCTGACTACCTGCACAGTTGAATACTGGTAAAACTTCATATAACCACACATTTTAGGCTTGGGAGTGACCAACTTAATGCGGTGACATAAAGCATCGGTGTGATGGCAGTACCAGCCATCGATCTTGGTGTTTTGTCGGTGGTGGTGGTGTTGATCTTTATTGAAGACTTCTAACGTGGGTCGTGCTGGAGGAGATGCTAGTTCAGTGCTCACTTTTCAACTTACTTACATGGGTAGTCATCTTGTCTTAGCCAAGTAGTTTGTACCTGCACTACATTTTCAGAGTGTAACGTGTGGCACGTTATCTAAAGCAGTCAGCGAGAATTAGGTATTTCGTACAGTAAGAGTAGATGGTTCTCAGTTATAACGAAAGGATGACTGATAAAACTGGCATAACATAAATGAACATTAACCACTTTCTGGGGCTACGTAGAGTTAGTGTATTGCAGGCTGTTCATTGCACGATTCGTTCATTTCTGATTCTAATCGTCCTTGTTTTTTCATTGACGTGGACAAAAGTTGCCAGGCGCTGGACAACTGAATGATAGCTGCTAAAGCAGTAAACTTCCATTAGAGTTGGTTTACTTGGCCCGTATTACCGATTTTTCAAACCCATGCCCATCTTCTACAAGCTACGCAATTGGAGCTGTGGAAAGATACAGTGTACCGTACTTCCGCAATTTCTTGTTCTCTATTCTCGTTTCATTGCTAAAGGAGCACTCATTGATACCTGAGTTTCGCATTGTTCTGTTCACCAACTGACTGACACGCAGTAGCTGCTCACAGAGCTAGCGTGCGTAAATACAGCTCACATAGCCTAAGTGAGCGCTGACAGCAAAAGCATACATTTTTGTGCAAATCATCACAGGCGAGTACTCCATAAGCGCGAGTTCGATATAGGTATCCTTCCGTTCATCATTTGTTGTTGAGTAAAAATTTCCAAAGACCTCTTCCAAAATCTGATTAAGGTTGTTTTTACACCGATGATACATGGAGTACGTGAACAATCAAAATATTCTACGGAGAGCTGCGTTTTAGCCGGACTTGGACTGGCACAAAGTACCCATAAAGAAATTATGTGGTAAGAAAATCAGGAAGGACAGATCTCTTGCTTATTCTAGGAAGTAAATTTACGGAGATTCTACGAAAGGAGCAATTACGGACCGTAGGCGTTGGATAAAACCGAAGATCGTCTAGTACGCAGTAGTCAGTCGTATAGGTCCGCAAGTATACCCTGTGAAATCAGTAGTGGGAAAGCTGAAGATGGAGCAGGTCATTGACAAACAACGCTCATTTATGGATGAACTTCACGTTGAACGGATACTCAAAGGAATCTCAGCTGCGTCTCCCGTTCATGACATTCTTCAGCTAAATGTGCTATGCAAGGCATATAACAAAAATAGAGATTCAGCCGGGATGTTGTTGAGTCTTTCCTCTAAGCCAAGTCAGTGTTTGTCGGGAACTGCATAAAGTATGGATTCAATTCAAACAAAGATTTGACGGAAACTAGAGGACTATGTCTACCTGGTTGGTTCCTAGGAGTGCAAAAGCGGCCACAGGATGTCAACTAGTCTTTAGCAACTTTAGAAGCATTGTGTACTGTATGTATTTCCCGTATGTGCTGGAGGCTGGTGAACAGCAGGAAACAATTTCACTTGTTTCTCGCATGAAATGAGTTATAATGGCTTTCACTGAGCGTACATTGGGACAAGTCACTTACATTGCAAGTAGAATATTGACAATTCATGTATCAGTGCCACTTATGTAATCAAGGTCGAAATCGCTGAACCGAGCACAGCGAGTGACGATGCTTTCTTTGTGTGGACAAGTACTTTTAGCAGGTCACATAAGTGGGCTCATCTAATTTTAATATATTCTAACCGGAAAGTATTTTCATCACCGTAAACAACTTTTCCTTGGAAGCTTCAGGCAACCAGCTTAATTGGCTAATTGCTTGGGAAATTCTGCCAACACCGACGCTGTCTGTTGGTAATGAAGCTGTTATGAAGTCTAGGTCCTGCAGTCGAACATGATCTGTATTGAAAAACCGATAAGCATCATAAAGCTGTTTCCGCTTCGCCGAGAATCATCAGAGCATGTCTCACAAAACGTTCAAGAGATTCGAGCCCGTAGCCTTTTGATTGGTAAACAAACGCTATCATATTTGAAAAAAATGCTAAATATATCTGCTTTTCCTGTATCTCCTCTCTCATTCAACTAAGAAAATCCATAAATTCAGAACTATCGTTTGCGACTTACTTTAATCGAGTATGTGCATAAACCCTTAATGATTAGGTTGCTTGTGGAACTAAATTACGGTTGCCTCGCTTGGATCCACGGTACCCACGAATTCATCTGTGTTCCAAAGTTAAAATTGTGGTGCTTT